TGTACAAATGTGCTTTACACAATTGATGTATGTATGGATTGTGATAAGAGTTGTATGAGCCCCTAATAAAACAATTAAAAAACAAAACAAAACCACTTTACTAGGAGATAGCTTCTGCTACCAAAAGTTCACAGTATTCACTGGTTCCTTGGTACTGTAGCTTTAAAATAATTCTGAAGTGATAAGACTGTTTTGCAGCCAATCAAACTAAAGATTTACTATCCTCTTTAATCCTAAACCAACAGAAGAAATAAACTAAATACTCACTTATCAACTCTCTCAAAAGCAGGTTACTTAATATTTGTTAACCAACCAACTCCTTAGCCTGGTGAACGTAATAAAAAACGTAGATAAATGTAATGTTAGTTTTAAAGTGTTCAAATCTATATTCAACTGAAGGAATTTTTAATTTTAAAGAATACCTTTTCCATGTCCACAGAAAGCTCAGCAAACCATTGCCTGGCATCTTTCTGCTGTACAACACAGGCCACATGCAGGCAAGCTGTCAAAAAAACCCGAGAAACTACTGCTGCTGATTAATTGCAAAAAGGAATACCGGGACTTAACAACTAATGACAAGATTTTCACATGCACTGTTCTAATACTCTTTTTTAAAATTATGAGAGAAAGGAAGCAGGGGAGAACACTTGGGGAGTGTAAGAATTAAAGGCAACAGAGATAAATGCTGTTATATCTTGCAATAATAGTAATCTATGAGAAGGCTGAAAGGGCCTGGGAGGGCAAGTGGGAATATATTCAAAAATATATATGGCTCTGAGACAATATTTATATATGGGTACATGTACAATCTACTCATGAATATGGTAGAACATACAGGGGGCAAAGTTAAGAAAACTCTTTAGATAAAGGAGTTAGTGGACCTGGGGGGTCCAGGGCCATGATCTAAGAAGGCAATGCAAAGTTCAAATGGTATAACACAGTCCATAATAAATAAGGATGTACATCTTATTTTGGTGAATAACAACTGAGGTCTTCAGAGCCCACAAGGAACATCTAATGTGCAGCTACTGGTCTGTCTGTGCTCAGAGGAAAGAAGTGTGATGACAATCCAAGACACATGAAAACCATTAATCCAGTGGCCCAATGGATCATGCAATTATCTCCACAGCGATGAGACCAGAAGTAGATGGTGCTCAGGTACCACAGCCAACTGCTCTGATAGAAATCACATTAGAAAGCTCTGAATAGAGTGAGAGAAAAGTGTGACATGAGATATAAAAAAAAGACAGAGACTGGTGAAACCCTTGAGATGCTACACTGGGGATTGCAATTAATGAGATGGGGCAAAGTGTGTATGAATTGTTGAATGGAAAACTGATCTGCTCTGCCATTCATATGCTGATAAATTTCAATAATTTTGACCATATTTTGATATGTCAGTAAGTATTATTGTTTCTGCATCATTTTTCTTTCCAAAAGTAATTAGTATGTAACCAAGTACTTACAACTTAAAAAGACTGGAATTCAGTTTTGTAACCAAAAAAATTAAAGAAAATAGTTTAGGCTAATCCAATATAAACAAAGAGAACAAGATAACCATCTGCCTCACACTTTTGCCTAAGCTAGTTCCAACTAAGCAGCCTGGTTGTAAAGCTTTATTATCTAGTTTGATTACTCATATGACTTAGTCTATAAACAGTAGTAGAAGCCAGGGGCTTCTGTGAAACTAACCCAGGAAAACATATATTCATCTAAGGACTTACTTCGGCTCAGGATATATGAGACAGGCCCATGATGAGTTACATGAGATAGTGAGTTACAATTAATATTAAGCTTAATTTTGAACATTCCCCCACAAGCTCACAAGAATGTTCTGTTCCTATGCTGCACAAAATTACTTATAAAGAGAATTCAAAATAAATGCACAACAAAGGGAAAGATGTGCGGGGGAGACAATAATCTTGACTTGTGATAGTTGCAATTCGTATTATTGAATGGGCATATGCAAAGAAGGATTAGTTTATTCATGAAACAAAGTAAAATAGAGTGGAATATGTTTTTGGATGTGATCTGAATAGGCTTATAACAATTTAACTAACGGGACACTACACATACATACCTAAAGCTATCATGAAAGGAGGATACAGCAGGCAAAGATCCGTTCGGTAGGTATCATTCACTATCCTCCTATAGAAACAGAAATCAGTTCATTATTAAATGTATAACTACCTCACTTAATGACTACACATTTGCCTCCAGAGAAGGCCATATATTCCATCTATGTACACATTTATTTATCTTTCATATTACTGAAGCACATATATAAATGATAAAAATATCAAGGCAAAAAGATACACAAATACAATGGATAATCACATTTTAAAGGGTAGATTATAGCCAAATATATTTTAAATGTTAAAACCTTACAAGAAATCATAAAATAAAATAAGCACATTTTTTCAATTTATTAAAAAAGGCAAGAAATTAGATAGGAAAGCAGAAATTATATAAGAAATTATCTATCTATCTATCTATCTATCTATCTATCTATCTATCTATCTATCTATCTATCTATCTATCGAGTATCACCAAAAACTATTCTGATGGTCTCAAAGATCATTTCGGTCTTAATTTTTTTCAGTCTTAATTTTTATGGAAATAAGACAGTTTTACAAATTCTTTTAAAAGAAATAAAAATTTAACAGATACATTTATCCAACAAGCAATTTATTTATTATTTTAGCATTTGAACCACTCAGATGTTTTTAATATTCAACAAGCAGTTATCTCACACAACAAAAATACCTTGGGGCACCAGTTTAATGACTTAAAAAATACTATGCTTCATATTTAGTTGTCAACCTTCCTAGTTAGTAACACGTTACACTATTAATAACTTCTGTTCTAATTACCATGCAAGGGGAAGCAACATGTCTTCTTGGCCCATGTCCTGCACATACTGGAGCAAAGGTCTATAAGGATGATACACTATCAAGCAACAATCCTAGAAACAGTTTAAAAAATTTTTATGTGTAAAAACAGATTTATCACAACACAAAACATTATCATTACCCAACTGATTTGTAATTATTTATTTCAAAATGAATTTTTATAACTCATGCTTGCTTCCCTTTTGTTATTGTGAGCAAGCAGCATGGCAGCCCTAAATCCTACTATCACAGTGAAGGCAGTGCTCTCTCTGAAATATACCTTGGTAACTCGGTTGGCAGTCAGTCAGCATCCATTCCCTTAGAGACTCAAAGTGTCACATCTGCAACACACTGAAACCTCTTATGAGCCTACAAATCCATAGTTCCCAACTGGAGGAGCAGAATTCTGCCAAAGACATAATCTATCTTTAAATAACACCGCACACAATCACAATTGTGCAAATAATTTACAATTGTTTCATGTCCTGACTGATTTGCTTTTAATCCTCTTATTCTAGTTACTGACTGCAGAGCAGAATAAATTCCTCATCTTAAAGAGGATGTACACATTATTTACAGGCTTCACACAGAATATAGGGTATGATGCTACTACGATTTAACCACCATGTATCACTTGGATAATTTAAAAACAGATCACCCAACAATATTTCTTTATATAAAAATCTGAATTCATGAAGCTAGAAAATACCAACTTTTACTTTATTAATCACAGGAATAAAGTACACTTACCATTAGTTCTAAAAGATAAAATTCACATTCTAATACCTGTTTAAAAAAAGATGCTCAATCAAATGTCAACATTACACAACATAACAATATAGACATGTAATTTATCAAACTTTTTGCCAAAAATTAAGAAAACAAAATCAGTAACTAGTATCACCCAAACCAATGCACAATAAATTACTTAATGATAAAGCACATATTAAAAAATCCCCAAGGTGATTAAGTGGGGCACCCAGATGGGTCACCATTGCTATGAAGGACTACAAAAAGGGGAAAGCTAGAAGCTATTTAAATTTAATTGAACACTAAAGTGTATATTCTTTAGTGCCTCAAGCCACCATTTCTAGGAGACTACTCACATCTACTTGGATATAAAATGGACCTGGTTTATGGACAGCTCTGACAAGTAGTTTTGTTTTATGTAATATACTTACATGATTCATCCTATAAGGAAACTCCTTTGGAAAGGCATATGAAAATCTAGTTTTTACTGCAGAAAACACAACAGAAAAACCAACTTAAATAAAGAAAAACAGGAATATAAACCAAAATCCTGTTAGCACATTGTAGAAAATCAGAGGGTAGAACTAAATTACGGCAAGTAAGAGCTCTTGGAGATGCTTAGAGACCCAGGTTCTGTTCATTTTCCCAGAAGGGGAAAGACTGAGTGGTAAAAGCTCTAGGACCCTTCCTGTCTATACTACAATGAAAGCAAAAGCACAAACCCACTGCTATATAGTCCAGATCAATATATGGTTTCCAAGGCTATAGATCTTAGGGGATTGCGTATACAGTCTCGTCTTTCTCCTACAGAGTGACGAGTGGGTTTAAACCACTAACTTTGCAGGTATCACTCCCCACTTACTCCTTAGGGCCACCGAATACCAGGATACGAAAAATCATTGCCTTCTATCCTTTCTAAATAGCTCTCCAATTCTAGAACAGTAATGTTCCTTTCTCCAATGTTTAGTTTAGAAGGAACAACGATATATAATACCAGAAGGATAATACATAAAAATATATTGGCAGTGGTTATCTGAGATTTAAGGATACTTAAAAAATGAATCTGCATCTTCTAAACTCTTTATAATGACTAAGTATTTCTTTATTCAAAGAAATAAAGCATGAATAGAAGCATCTTACTCTCTCAAGCATTCATACTATTCGTATTAGTCACCAAAAAAGTCTGAGTAAAGTTAACTATCAACTGCATAGTCTCAAAGCTTCTCAAAAAGGTGTCCACATACACATCTAAGTACAAATTGAATAAACTGTATTTGAGCCACTTCCCTGAAACATTTCATTTGAACAAATTAATGCTAAAAAGTTTCTAGAGAATCTATGACTTGAGTCTTTCCTTTTGTCCAAAATTTAATCTCACTGAGGTGAAATAAGAATTTTACTTGTTCTATATATTTTGAAAAATATTAGTCTTGTAAACAGAATGTCCTAATAATTTATTTTGGTTGGTAACACCTCTGAAGAACTGAAATTTAGAAAACCCCCTAACTACCAAAGCAGTTACAATTTAACAAAAGGTAGGCTGACCAGTCTCTTAACTGTACCCCATAGCATTTTCCTCAGCTGCGATCCCTAGAGGCAAGTGATGTCTTTCTCCAAGGAACCTTTGGTGTGAGTTTGAACCACTAAGCTTTTAATAAGTAGATGAATGTGTAAGCACTACACCACCCACTGAGCAAATTAGGAAGTTTATATTTAATCTTCCCTTTCTCCTTCAGTGAATTCACTGGGGGGGAGGGGAAAGTATTTATTAGAGTCTCCGAGTTTTACAAATGCCTTTGCTGTAACTAAGGATACAAGTAAAGTAGGTATTTATATACACACTCCTTACTTACCAACTTGGTTAGATTCCAAAGACCAAGTGGTTATGCAAAAATCAGTATTGTGTGAAAAGAGAGGATGACTACAGCAGATCACAAATATGAAGGATAACTACATCACTATACAACACCAAAGCACATCATTACTTTTCTGTCAAATCACCGAGGCTCATGACCTGGTCAAGCTGACACTTAGCTTTAACATCAAAGCATCACTCTTGCCTGACACCAGGGTGTTAATGTCAAATGTATGTTACAAATGCACAAAAATAAGGAGTACTTTTACTATTATCATTAATGTAAAATGTTGGATATCAACATAGTTGATAACGGAGGAGTAGGTGTCCTGCTAACCAATCAACAAAGTAAAATCATTGTCTCTGGTACTTAAGATAAACCTACATATATCCTTATCCCCTCGACTATGACTACTAAATCAGAGGTCAGGTTTCCTGATGCTGTTAAATTCTCTCCTGTACCCTAAAATTGTTCTGCATTTTAATTTCTTCTTTTTCTTCTGACATGGAAGAAAATGTATTCCTCTTCTCCAGCACTATCCCTATACCACTCATGCTTTGATTTTTCCTGCACCCCCCCCACCTTTCATCTTTCCTTCTACAATAAGTCTTTTCTATACTTTCTAACATATTCATACTTCTCTTAAAAATCAAAACAACAACAATAAAACCCACCTAATTCTCTCCTATACTTTATTTATTTATTTTTTATTTTTTTAAATCAATTTATTGGGGCTCATAAAATTCATCACAATACATAGATCAATTGTGTAAAGCACATCTATACATTTGTTGCCCCCATCATTCCCAAAATTCGCATGCCTCTTAGTACTTTATTTTTTTTACAGTGTTAATTACAGGAAAAATGAAGAGAGTACTCTCTTTCCCACCTAGTTTCACTGATTATTAACATCTTACAATGAGTTTGTTATAATCCCTAGAACAACGTTGTTGTTTGGTGCCATTGAGCCAGTTCTGACTCAGAGACTACATACAACAGAACAAAACACTGCCTGTCTGCCCTGTGCCGCTCACAATCGTTCCTATGTCTGAGCCCATTACTGCAACCATGGTGCAAACCCATCTCCAGGGTTTTCTTCTTTTTCACTGAGCCTCCACTTCCAACCAAACTCACTGCCAGAGTCAATTCTAACCCATAGTGACTCTACGGGACAGGGTGAAACTGCCCGTGGGTTTCCGAAATGATAACTTAAGAGCAGATAGCTCATCTTTCTCATACAGAACGACTCATATTTTAGAACTGTTGACTTTGTAGCTAGCAGCTCAACTCATAACCACTACAGCAGTGGGGCTCCGTCTCACCTGATAACATGTCCAAGTCACATGAGACAAAATCTCTCCATCTTTGCTTCCAAGGAGTGTTCTGGCTGTACTTTTTCCAAGACGGATAGGTTTGTTCTTCTGGGAGTCCATGGTACTATCAACAGTGTTCTCCAACTCCATAATTTAAATACACCAATTTTATTTTTTATCGTCCTTATTCATTACCCGGTTTTCACACACATATGAGGTGGTTAAAAAATTCACAGCCTGACCCCAGTAACCACTAATAAACTTTGATATCTATATATCTAACAAAAAAAAAAGACCATGGTCTGGGTCAGGGACAGCTTAGTACTCAAAGTGCTGTCGTTGTTCTTTAATACTGTAAAGAGATCTTTTGCAGCAGATTTACCCAATGTAATACAGCTTTTGATCTCTCGACAGCTGCTTTCATGAGATTTGATTGGGGATGCACGCAAAAGGAAATCCTTGACAAATTCAATCTTTTCTCCATTTACCATGCTGCTGTCTACTGGTTTAGTTGTGAGGATCTGCGCTTTCTTTACATTGAATCTTTGCATTAAGAAAACCACACAAAAAGCTAACGTCTTTGATCTTCATCAGCAAGCTAGGTCATGCCACCTGCACATCACAAGTTGTTAATAAGACTTCGCTAATCTGATGCTGTATGCGTTTTCATATATTCCAGCTTCTCTTGTAGATGACGGAACTGAAGCACAGAGTAGTTAGATATTTGTTCAGTTTGTCACAGAGAAAGCACCAGAGCTAAAACGTGGGACCAAGCAATAAGGGTCTAGACAATGTGCTTTAAATTTTATCTAATAAATAAAATAGCTTACTACAGAACTTCCCAATTTACTGTAAACCAAAAACTTGGTTTTGGTTTTTAATATGATAATAATAAATAAATTTTGGCAATAGGTATCTTACTTTTTTGTTTTAAAATTTACCTAACTAAAAACGCTGGCATGTGAAAGTTTGACATTGAATAAGGAAGACCAAAGAATCCGGGCATTTGAATTACAGTGATGGCAAAGAAAACCGAAAATACTATGGATTGCCAGAAGAACAAATAAGTCTGCTGGAAAAAGTATAGTCACAATGATCCTTAGAAGCAAGAACGGTGAGGCTTTGTCTCAAATACTTTGGACATGTTTCAGGAGAGACCAGTCCCTGAAAAAGACATCACACTTGGTAAAGCAGAGGAGCAGACAAAAAGAGGAAGACCATCAACAAGAGGAATTGCACCAGTGGGCTCAAACCTAAGGACAATTATAAAGATGGTGCACGTCCGGGCAGTGCTTTGCTGTTTTGTACATACGGCTGCTAGGTGTCTGAGAAAACACTAAAAACAACCACCTACAAACTTTGGGAAGCGACACTAGCACAGGCAAAGAAAGAAGCTAGTATCTACTGTGAAGAGATGAACACTGGTAACATTCTAAAAGAATCCCTTCAAGTTGTCACACAGCTTTTCAAGGACTCGGTTTTCTAGATACCAATTCAATATGGGCATTTTAAATTTTATGACAAAACTACTTATGAATCTCCTATACTTAAAAGAGTAAGATATGAAATGAAAAAGAATTTTATACACAGAATCTGGCAATTACATTCTTTTTAGAAAGGGGGATGATCCAAAAAGATGAAGGTCAGTAATGTGAACAACAAATACAAAAAACAACCTATGGCTCTGCAGTCCACTCTGACTCACAGGAGTACTACAGGACACATTGGAACTGTCCCGTAGGGTTTTCAAGGCTGTCAAATCTTCACAGAAGTTGGCGGCCACATTTTTCTCCCATGGAGGGACTTGTGGACTTGAACAGCCGATCTTGTGGTTAGCAACTAAATGAACTAAAAAAAAAACCCAAACCTGCTGCCATTGAATCAATTCTGACTCACAGCAACCGTACATAAGGATGTCTGTGGTAGTAAGTCTTTACAGGAACAAAGGGCCTCAACTCTCTCTCTTGGAGTGGCTGGTGGGTTTGAGCCAGTGCGTTTGAGGTTAGCAGTCCAACACGTACCCAGCAGTGCCACCAAAGCTCTTTAAAAAAACAAAGTCTGAATTATCTTTAGTAACCGTATATACTCAAGTATAAGCCAAGTTCTTCAGCACATTTTTAATGCAGTTTTTGTGGTAAAATTAGGTGCCTCGGCTGATATTCGGGTTGGCTTAAACTCAAGATTATACGGTAATTAATTTTTACTTGAATTACAAAGAAAGAACATTATATTAACACCGTATATAATACATTACAAATGTTCCAATATTTTTAAAACAACATAATCTTAGTTCTTTTAATAGCATGACTTACAAATGTTACAATATAATCTTATTTCCTTTAACAGTTGCCCCATATATAAAAGGAGTCCCCCCACCCCACCCCCACCCGGTGGCTCAGAGGGCACACTTTGGGCTGCTAGTTGCAGGGCCAGCAATTAGAAACCATCAGCCACTCTGTGGGGCAAGGAGGGGCATTCTACTTCCATAAAGAGTTAGTCTCAGAAACTCTCAATCCTACCCTGTCCTACCGGGTTGCTGTGAGTTGGCATCGACATTGGCATTGAGCTTGGCTTTGGTTTTACATGCACTGAAACCTAACTTTTTAGCTAAAACTTTAAGGCCAGAGGTAAAACTTACTCAAGGTTATGCAACTACTTAGAGCTATGTAGTTAGTCATTAGGAAACAAAAAATACAGTAAAATTAGGAGACAAATGTTCTTCGCTACCAGCCAGCTGCTCCACAAGGAGATGTGGCAGCCTGCTTCCCTAAGATCAGAGCCTTGGAGACCCAGGCTCTGCCCTGTCCTTCAGAGTAAGGCGTGGCAACTCGAAGGCAATGGGTTTTGCTTTTTTAAAATCACAAAATTAAGAGCCACTAAGTTGATTTAAAAAATTTTTATTGCTACCCACTTTTCTTAGAAATATAAAAAACAAAACACAGGGAATCCAGGGCAGATAAACTCCTCAGGCCCAATAACAAGAGTATGGATACTAGGAGCGTAAGAGGAAGGTGGGGGGAGAGGGAGGGAACCAATCACAATAAACTACATGTAACCCCCTCCTCGGGGGACGGACAACAGCAAAGTGAGTGAAGGGAGACAGTAGTTGGTGTAAGACATGAAAAGAAATGATCAAGGGTTCATGAGGGAGGGAGGATGGAGGAAAATGAGCTGACACCAAGGGCTCAAGTAGAAAGAAAATGTTTTGAGAATGATGATGGCAACATGTGTACAAATATGCTTGACACAATGGATGGATGGATGGATCGTGATAGGAGCTGTACTAGCCCCCAATAAAATGATTTAAATAAAATCAAAGAAAATTTTTTTTTAAATCTTGAGATAATAAGAAGTTTTTAAAAAGTAACTTCACATTTTAACTTTATTTTTAGACAAAAACATAACTATACAGGTACCTTAAGGAGATTTATACTAAACAAATCTCTCACATATCTAGTAACTGAAAAGCATCTATATTCCACTGCGCTTCTTTGACAGTTATTTCTTAAAGCAAGATCTTTTTCATACTTACATACAGAAGTAGCAGCAGCAATCAATCTTGTATTTGAGACTACTCCAAATTCCTAGAGAAAACAGGTGAGATCATGTGCATATTAGCTCAATACACCAGAAGGTATTTGAGGTCTATTCAAAGCAGAGTATTTTCTGTGCTCCTACCAGGTTTGTACCCTACTTATCTTCTACCTACTTTAAGTTTAAATTGCTTTTAAAGGAAATCTCTTAATGTATTACCTTTTCTTAAAGCTACTAGAATTTAAGAAAAAAACTTAAGTTTTATCATTTAATATCAGTGAAAGGTACTGAATTAGAAACCAAGTCCTAAAGTGGCAGAGCTAATTTCTGCACTTAGTTTCCAAAACTTTGTGGATCTACCTTTAATTTCAAGAACAAACACAAACTATACTTCCTATTCAAACTTGAAATAAAAAAATGTACCTTATAACATTTAATACCAATGCAATTAAAATTTATCTGAAAAGGATAAATTTTAACATCACCAAAAAGAGCACGAGTAGATAAAATATCCTTTTGCAAGCAAAGAGACAAAAACAGCCCACCCTAAGTCTAATAATTCTCATTTCTCTTTTAACCAAATATACTATTTTATAAAAACAACTTTGACTCACCTCACACATATTGTTTCATTTCATTTTACATTAACCTTACAAAAAACTAAAAATCAAGAATTGGTTCCTTATCCAACAAAAGAAATATAATAAATACATAAATATGCATTTATTTGCATTATTTTGCATTTATTTGTATTAAATATGCATTGTTTAATTACTTTTAACCTATATTTTATCCTACATGCATGCGTATATACATATTTATTTATATTTACACTTAGACCTCCAACCATAACTAAAACTAAAATCTTATACGCCTGAGACATCTTCTTAAATATAATCACAGAAATAAATAAATCATAGGTGAAAAACAAGAAATGCGATTATCAAGTCTGAAAGAATAGAGGACTTCAAGGCAAACTGTTTATTCTAAACAAGGCAAATGCTTACTCTAGATCGGTAGTTTATATGAATTTCCTCTTTATCTCCCATACTGGTTCTGCTAAGATACATAAAATTATATGTAGCATTTGAAAAATCCCCACCTATGGAAAAATCCACACTTACAGGAAAAGCCTGTGGGATACAGTTTCTCCCCAGGTTGTCCCCCCCATATTACATGCCAAACCTAAGACACTGCTTGAAAGGCATGGGAAATGACTGTACACTTGGTGGTCAGCTGCTTACAGCCTATCTCCCGGCGGGCAACAACCATGGAGAGCAGTCATACCCTACTGTCTGTCCCACCCACGGTGGGGCCCATCCCTGCTGATAAGGATAGTGGATTGCTCCCCTGAAGGAGAGCCCAGAGACAAGGTCAAGCCAACTAAATGAGGATCAAGGTTAGGTTGCCATCTTGAATCTTTGGTTCACCTATCTTGTCACATGTATGCCTCCCCTTCCTATTGCGTGTACATTGCTAGCCCATCCCTTCCTGTTGTACGGATGCCTACTGTATAGTCTCTTCCTGTTATGTATGTGGTTACCTATAATCAGGGGGGACTAGCGTGGCCCCTAAATGTATATAAGCTGTGATTGGAAATATATTTTCTTACTGCGCAGACCTGGCTGCTGAGATCATGGCCATCCGGGAGGTGATCAAATATATTCCCTATCTTGTCTAATGCCTCTTTAATTTTATCCCTCAATTACACAACTGCCCCTTGGACCCATTCGATTGTGAGAGCTGGTACTCCACAAAAGCCTTTATAAAATATTTTTCTTTTCCATTACAGAATTTAACAAAGCTAGATTGGCCTCCTTAAATTACCATATACTCTAAAACCTCTAGAAATCTTTTGTTAATACATTTCTCTTATTTCCAGGATTCCTCGGGGACTTGGTTACTTTGCTGCCCGTGCTGCCCTGTGGCGCTCCCGTCACGTTGCTCCCTGCTGTGCCGGGGCAGACCAGGCACACTTTCTGCACAGCGTCTCCAGTGCGGAACCCCCAGGGCTGTGGGTCTGGTGAAACGTGCCTTGTGGTGGGGCCGGTCCTCACTGTGCATTCAGCCTAACTTGAATGAATCTATAAAACTATAAAACCTTCTGCTGTCTAATTGATTCCAGTTTATAGCTATTCCATAAAATGGAGTAGAATGTCCCCATTGGGTTTCTAAAGCTCTCATCTTTACAAAAGCAGGCTGCCACATCTTTCTCCCATGAAGCCCTGGTGGGTTAGAACTGCTCTCGGGGTTAGCAGGCACGCACATATCCACTGCAATAGCAGGGCCCCACCATCGGGCAGATTCAACTCACAGTAATCCTATACCGGTTTTTGTTTTTAAAAAAAATCATTTTATTAGGGGCTCATACAACTCTTATCACAATCCATACATACATCAATTGTGTAAAGCGCATTTGTGCATTCATTGCCCATATACTGGTTTTCTAAGATTGTACATCTTATGCCTCATCTTTCTCCCTTGGAGGAGCCAGTGAGTTTGAACAGCCAAGCTTGTAGTTAGTAGGTCAACAGCCCACTGTACTACCAGTGATCTTCTATACAGCTATAGCCATTCCCTAACCTTCCTTCTGTTTTCCCTATGGATTGTAGGTGGCCAATCATCAGGAAGCAGGGAGTGGAGACAGAACAAAGGACACATATGGGGCAAGAGGGCATCTCAGGCTATAGTAGAGAAGCAGTGGCACTTACTGTTTAGTGCTAAACAATTAGGATCTTAGAGGCAGCAAAACCAAGCAGTTAAAAGTATCAGGTCAGAGGCCAGACTCCCAAATACTGCCTCTGCCAACTACCAGCTTGCATGATGTTGAGCAAGTTATCTAACTTCTCTGTGCCTCATTTTCCACATTGGTAAAACAGAGATACTCAATACTTTGTACCTTAAACTACGTTATGAGGATTAAATTATTTATTATTTGTAAAAGGACTTAGAGTAGTGCTTAGAACTATAGTAAATGTTATATACACATTGGTTAAATGAATACATAAAGATATGTTTCTTTAATCCTATACTAGTATTTTGAAAATAATCCTATTTCAGTATTTTGCATCCTGTTCAGTATTTCAGTATTTTGCATAGATCACCCTGTATTACAATTTTTACCACAGGTAGTGTGAAAACTGAAACAGATTAAATAATACACATTATTTATACTTTTATGAAGAATAGAAAATTATGTCATTACCTCCACTTTGGATGCCAAAAACACACAAGTAGGAGCCATTAATACGGGATCTATACTTTTCAGAGAATACCTAAAGTATTATAGAACAAAGTTAAAAGTCATTTATATAGAAAACACTGAAAAGTCAAGATAATGCTGTAGAAAAACATGGTTCATTTATAAATGACTCATCCACATTAATTATGAATTTCAAATACCATATATACTTGTGCATATGCGGAGTTTTTCAGCACACTTTAAATGCAGTTTTTGTGGTAAAATTAGGTGCCTCGGCTGATATTCGGGTCGGCTTATACGCGGGTATATACGGTAGATATAACATTTCCCAGAGTAAAATGAAACAGCTTACCTGGCATAGAATCTCTTGAAATAGACTGTAGCAGTGGCAATAACTTGCTGTCTTAATTTAAGATGTTCACCTAATGCTTGGATAACTAAAAGAAAAATAATATACTGTAATAAATATTTCTTCTGAAATCACTATATTAGCATTACATAGTAACTTCCAAAGGTAAATAAATGTACACATGCTACAAAGCACTACTTGCAGATCAATGCTCAAGCAGTGGGATTTACAAATTTGTTAAAAAGTCAAGTCAAGTCCAGCTCCTGGCAATCCTGTGTGTTACAAAGGAGAACAGCTTTACAAAGCAGATCGCCAGTCCTTTCTTCGGTGGCGGTCCTCTGGAGTGGGCTCCAATCACCAACCTTTAGATTAAGACTGTGCCTCCCAAAATTCCAAAGAAAACCCTCATTGAGTCAATTTTGACTCAAACTGACACTATAGGACAGAGCAGGACTCTCCCTGTGGGTTTCTGAGACTGTAGCTCTTTTTTTTTTTTTTTACATATACAATGTTAATCTTTATTTATTTATTTTTAGATTATTTTACTGGGGGCTCGTACAATTCTCATCACAATCTATACATATATCCATCGAGTCAAGCACATATGTACATTCGCTGCCCTCATCATTCTCAAAACATTTGCCCACCTCAGCCCTTAATATCAGTTGCTCATTTTCTCCCTCCCTCCTGACCTCTCTCCCTCATGAACCCTTCATAATTCACAACTTACTATAGTTTTGTCATTTAAGTTACACTGTCTGACATCTCCCCCTGCCCTCTTCTCTGCTGTCCATCCCCCAGGGAGGAGGCAATACCTAGATTCTTGTAATCGGTTCCCACTTTCTACCCCACATACCCTTCACCCTCCAGGCCTCGCCCCTTTCACCACTGGTCCTGAAGGAGTCATCT